GGGCCTCTCACTGTTGTGGCCTCTCCCATTGCGGAGCACAGGCTCCAGACGCACAGGCTCAGCGGCCATGGCTCATGGGCCTAGCCACTCTGCGGCATGTGGGATCTTCCCGGACCGGGGCACGAACCCATGTCCCCTGCATCGGCAGGCGGACTCTCAACCACTGCGCCACCAGGGAAGCTCCACACGTTCATTCTTAAACAGGGAAAATTCTCACCTTGTTTGGTATCATAACTTTCTCCTTTGATGTACTGAGTTAGAGAATACTTTGTAACTTTTCAAGTGATAGGGATGCCCAGAAATTATCACACCAGGATTCCATAAAGGAAGGCGCTATGAGATTCATTTTTGGAACTGTGGAAAAGAGAAAGCAGATTTTGAGCAGTTTGCTTTTGAGATTTGACAGTGATAGCTGGAAAGTTACTTTTTTCCAATTTGATGGTATCTTGATTACTGTTTGCTAACTGAGAAATGCCATTGTAATAGCCATGAAAACCCTGGTTCGGGACAGGTCCCTTTGTGCTGATTGCCCAGGCCGAGCACAATCACCGCAGCCGGGCCTTCCTGATGGATTCCCGCAAGGGTGGTCAGGGAAGTGTTGAAAGTGACTCGGGGAAGCCTGTGTTATTTGTCAGGAAGGTGGCGAGGGCATAACAGACTCCAGGTGGTGGTGCCTGTCCATGTGCAGCCCCATCCACAGGTTCACCTGTGCAGGCTGAGTCTTTTTCTGTGTGAGCCATAGAAGTATAGTAAATCATTAACTGAGTTACTGATCTGTAGGTTAACTTCCACCTCAAGGCCACTAGAGGGTGCTGCACCCCCGCGGTAGGCACAGGGCTGTTAGCTCTGCCTCCGTCTCACTCAGTACAGTCCAGCCTTTAGAATAGTCCTTTAACAGAAAAGCTGGCCAGGAAATGGATCTGGAGAGCTGAGATTATTTTTCTGCCAAGTCATCTTTGGTAAATACAGTATCTTCATCCAAATGAATTTTTGGTTTTATTACTTGAATTAAAGCTGACAAGCAGGTGACATGATAACCTAGTAACATATTTTTCTGGTATAATAATATTTTTAGTTCCTTAAGATTGCTTACCAAATCAACACAGTCTGCCTTTCAACTGAACAGAAATTCTATACTATTCTCTTCGTAGAATCTTGCAAAGATTCTAGAAATAACCCTTGTTCCTTTGTGGGACATAAAAACCTCTATATTCTTTAAAATTTCATTTAAAAAAATTATCCTATCTCAATTAGTTACTCCTAGACTCAATCCAGCTTTTTGATAGACTTATCTGATGGTTTTAAGAAATGCTTTTTACTTCTGTCAGGTGTCTTGTCCCTTGTGATTTTAAATATTTTGGAAACAAACTGGGATGCTGATAACCTGTCATCCACAAAGGTGTGGTTTAGGACAGGGATCTTCAAATTTTTTTCTTCCCAGGGCTCCTGAGGGAATTTCGAAAAACAGTATACCCTATCTCACAGTTTTAGATCGACATCTATAATGTTTTTAATCACAGCTTTAAATAGTTACAAGGAATATAATACCTGCCTATTGGGAAAATCGGCATTTTAAAATAAAAGCATTCCATCAGTCCCAGATGTATCCAGTGGATGTTAAATACCAGAGCAATTTGATATCCATGGTCATCTCTTTAGAAATAGAAAAGTAAGTCCTTTAATATTCAGAGATATTATGTTTCCTAGTTTCTTTTCCTCTGAAATATTTCCCTTGTATATATCCCATAATACGTTAATATATTTTTTTGCTTGAACTTTGAAAAATTTATTACCCTGTCATGTTTCTCTGCTACAAAACAAATACATATAAATTTTGGGTTTATTTCTCATAGCCCCAAGGCCTAAGGGTAAATACTTTTACTTTGGATTAGGTTGTCTTTATTAATTAGTAGATTATAATGCACAAAACCGGGAAATAATAAATTTTGATAAATAATTATTAGAACAGTAAAACCTTTTTGGAAGTGCTGGGTTTGCGGCTTTGATTAAAGGACGCCTCCATGACACCAGTACTGTGGCTTGTTCCTTATTGATCCTGGTGAGAGGAGAGCTGTGCTCCCCTTGTGTAAAGTGGGAGGGGGACGCAGGGGAGAAGCAAAGAAGGAGGACCAGATTGATGCATCCACACAGAACAGAGCAGCTTTAGGAAAGCGTGTGTGTGGACAGCCAGGTAGAAACTGCTCCCCTAGGACGTGTCCGGGCTCGGGTTTGCTCTGGAAAGGCTGTGTGCTCGGAAGGTGGCGAAGCTCCCAGGAGGTTCTCATGTCCCCAGAAGTGTGAGCGCAGCTCCGCTGGCACACAGTGTGGAGGTTAAGGATGTGTGCTCTCATGCAGATCTGCCTGGGTTCCAGTTCCATCATAGCCACCACCTTGATGGGCCTTATTTTACCCCTCTTGCTTCAGTGTCCTGTGAAGTCGGTTTATTAGTGCTAGCAGCTACCTTCCAGGGCGGTTGCCGAGATGGAATGCAGGATGGCGCAGAGAGCTTACGGCCCAGCGCCTGGTGCTTAATAAGCCTTCAGTGGGTAAAAGCCACTTCAAGCTGGTACTGTGCTTGGTAGTTTGTGTTCGGAACATCAAAATTGAGAATGTTATGTGCTATGGAAAGTGTTTGGCCACAGAAAGGAGCAGAAAGTTTCCTGGTGGGATGTTTTTGAAAAAGTCCCGAGCTGATCTTGGGAAGTGGCCGCGGAGGAGAATGTTTCAGGTTGTTGATGTGATTAAGCTGTGCTAGGCATTGTCTGCAAGCCGGAAACATCTACCTTAACATTGTTCAGAGCCTTGCTATGTAATTTACACTTTGCTTTTGAAATGACTAATTTCCTGGGAGGGATTGCCCTTAGCTAATGTGTTTAATGGACATGTATGTGCTTGTTTTGCTTCACTACTAAGGTGAAAATTTCCTTTTTTCTCCTTTCTCTAACCTCATATTTATATTTCCTTATGACATAACCATAGGAAAATTCAGTCTCTCTTCTACCTATGATGTGCTCTTTCTGCTACCTAAACTTGACAAATAGATAAAGATGAGGGAACACAGGCAGCTACTGAGAATCCTGTCACTGACTCTCACCCCGGATCTACGTGCTCTGATACTGCAGGCAAAGGACTAAGACTGCTTTCTGACTCACGTTTTCCTGTTTTGTCAAAGGAGTAACCACATGAGTTTATTCCTCAATGATTTGTTTTTGTTGTTGTTTTTGTCCTGAAAGGCGAGCCTCCAGTGAAATCTGGTGTTTGAGGCGGTGGCTCAGTGCCAGCTCTGCGCCTTCACGCTCTACCTGATTATCATCTCTGATCTGTTTTTGATTATCATTAATCTGTCTTACCTTTATTCACTTTTTAAAAGAACTTTTTATTTGGAAACAATTATAGACTTACAGGAAATTGCAAAAATAGTAGTAGAAAGAGTCCTGAATACCATTGACCCAGTTTCCCCCGACGGTGACATCTAAGATAGCCGTAGCATAAGATCAAAACTAGGAAATTGACACTCATGTTGACCATTAACCAGAATGCAGACCTTATTCAGTTTTCACTATTTTTTTTTAGCCTTCATTCATTTGTGTGTGTGTATGTGTGTGTGCGTGGTTCTGTACAATTTTATCACATGTATAGATTCATGTAGCCACCACCACAATCAAGATATAGAATTGCTTCATCACCACAAAAGAGCTGCCTTATGATGCCTTTTTGTATTTACACCCACCTTCTGCCCCTCCAACCTCCAAACTCCACTTTCATCTTTGTCCCTAGAAACCTTTCATCTGTTCTCCATCTCTAGTTTTGTCATTTCAAGAATGTTATAGTCTAAGTGGATCATATAGTATGTCGATTGACCTTTTCATTTAAGCATAATGCCCTTGAAGTCCATCTAGGTTGTTGCACAGTATCAACAGCTCCTTCCTCTTTATTGTGGAGTAGTGTTCCCATATAAGGGAGTACCAGAATTTGCTCAGCCATTCACCCATTGAAGGAATTTTGGGTTAATTCCAGTATTTTACTATCACAGATAAAGCTGTCATGAACATTCATGTGGAGGTTTTTTGTGTGAACAGAAGTTTTCATTTCTCTTCCTCCAGGATGTTATAAACTTCTGGAGAATAGCCCTGCCAGATCCACAGTACACAGTTTAAGAATATTTCTAATCATTTTTAGAGTTCAGTAATAAATAATAGGTCTCATAGGATTTTATTTAAATAAGACTGTGCCACTGTATGAGAATGAGAATGGAATGCAGAGAGTTTAATGTAATGCTTTTCATGCTTTTTTAAAAGACTCCTCAGACAACAAGGAAAAGAAATCCTTCAGCCTTGAAGAGAAATCCAAAATCTCCAAAAACCGTGTTCATTATATGAGATTCACAAAAGGTAAAATCAAGCATTTCTTTACTTGTCTGAAACCTCTGTTCACACTGGATTTTCTCAAAGCACTTTAGCTCCTCACCGGCATCACTTGTTTCACTTACAAAATGGGGAAGGAGGGCCGCGCTGACTGGGTTGATCTAAAGCAGCGCTGACGTTTCAGCTCTCCCTGTGGGTCACCGGGGCTCTTGTTAGGATGCAGATGCAGACTCATTCGTTCTGAGGTGGGCCCCAGATTTGGCTTTCGGCTATGTAGGAGTCCTTTGGTAAAAAGCTGAGTGTGGAAGCTAACTTGCTGTTTAGAAGAGAAGAGGGCCTTTACGTGGCTAGATCAGAAAATTTTAATTTATCGCTCAACATTTTTACTTACATTTTCCTGTTTTTCAGAGCTTAACGTTGGTGTTGAACAGCTCCTAAAATGTGCCAATTTAGAGAATTATGCGCCATGTTGAGACCTCCAGTATGAGAAATCTCACTCCCGAGTTGACTCTTCTATTATTCCACACCGTTCCTGTGTTTCATGTAGTGTTAACTTAGGTGTTCCATGGTCATTGCAAAAATAGTGTTAGAAAACATGTCTTCCTTCATCACCACCTCCCCACTCCCTTCCCAGTGCTGTACCTACACGGTCAGTCGTGGGTGCAGGTGTCCTCTTTAACCACTAGGTGGCAGTCTTGTATTGGAAAGAAACCATTTAACTTAAACTCATCAACTCCCCAGATGTTTTCCCATGGAACAGTGTTGTGTACTAAGTGTACTTTGCAGGCACAAAGCGGTATTTATTACATTAATATACTTAAAGTGTAAGTATGATAACTATGTTATCTAGTCACTATTTGATGGTTCGTCTATGGGAGAGTGGATGTATGTTTCTACCTCTGTATGCTAGGAAAAAGCACGTGTCTTTGCTTTAGTCTCGTTGGCATGATTGGGAATTCCCTGACATCTAGAACCCTGCTGAATAGCAGTGGGCACTGGAATTCTCACTACTCTAAACTGTTAATGGTGGCTCTCATTTGGAGCCAGGACCCCAAAAGGTAGACTGGGTTTGGTTTGAGGGAGGGCTCATGGCAGAGCTGAAGGGAGGAGAGAGCCCATTAGCTTCGGGGATGTGTGCAGGGAGAGACTGGGGCTTCCCCTTCCCTGTCCCGGCAGGTATGGCTTGTCTGGCTCGTCGTGTTAGCCTCTCTTCTTTCTGTCAGGGTAGAACCTTTGTCGTTCTCCCGTGTGGCTTTTGAGCAGGGTTCCTCTCCACCCCTGACCTGCTGCAGGACAGAAAGCAATCCTTGTTGGCCCCTCTGTCCTTGTCAGGAGAGGCTAAATGGTCACTTCATACCCAACCCCTTAAATATCTCTCCTTCTCATTAGACCCTATAGGAAAAAAAAAAAAAAAGATACAGCAGGAGGGGTGCTGAGCACAAATGAAATTAAAAGTGCACTGTGACTTTTGGGTAGTATGGCAGCCTTTTAAGCTTTGACTTTTGAGAATAGAATCTTCTCATTTTCCTTTTGTACCTGACTACATGCATGATTTCATCTGAAGCATTTGCCGAAGCTGGGATAAACCTCTTTAATCTACTTTAATCTAATGGATGCCGGGAGTATCTCCTTTCTGTTTCTAGTTAAGCCACCCCCTTGTCAGGTGACCCTATCAACCTGCTTGGTGTGTTGTGCATTCCTTTTCTCTCTTTTAAAATGAGGTTTGCTTATTTATTAGCCTTGTTTGGGGAGCAGGGGGCATTGGTATGTAGGGAGGGTAATTCAACATATATTGTAACAAAGGTAGCAGAGAAGATTGAGTGGAAAATAGAGGAATTGCAGATTGGGAATAAATAGGAAAGATAAAGGGAAGCAGAAATCCAGGTAGTGAGGAAAATACTCATTTACTGTCCATCTCAGCAATCCACAGTGAAAGTTAATTTTTATTTACTTATTTATTTTTAATTTTATTTATTTATTTATTTATTTATTTATTTGGCTGTGCGGCGTGGCATGTGGGATCTTAGTTCCCTGACCAGGGATTGAACCCATGCCCCCTGCAGTGGAAGCGACTCCATGCTGGACCACTGGACCGCCAGGGAAGTCCCCCAAACGTTTATTTTAAAGTTCTTTAACTTACTGAAAGAAATCTTTCCTTGTAGAGCAGCTGTTGTCACTGGATGTGAATGATAACCTCTCAGTTTCCTCCAAGGAGGACTATCTTAGGCCACAGGAAACTGGATTCTGGCCATGACTGTCTCACACAAATCACTCAACCTCTTCCCCTCTTTTAGCCTCAGTTTCCATTTTTGTGAAATGAAAGATTTTTAAGTCATTGTTGAGTTCTAAAATAGGTTGTGCTTTAGAACTTACCAGAAATGATGCCGTTGTGTGGACATTTTGATTGTTCAGCATAGTGGATGACAAGGATTTTTGCCCATGGGTATGCTCGTAGTACAGTAACTAACTCACTTGTTTAATGAGGATGATTCTTACTGCAAGTCCATCTATGGTCTAGGAAACTAAAACATGGAAAGACAGCATTTTATTTAGCTTGGTGTGAAGAGTGAAGATAAAGATTACAGTAGCAAATAGCATTGTAAAATTTGTTACTGCCTAAATATTGGCTGTAGCATTTTAGTTCTGGTACATAATTATTCCTTTCTCTAGTCCTAAATTTATAATTTAAATTTGACATCATTTATTACATAATTTCAAAATATTAGTTTCATCCATATTTGTTTAAAAGCCTAACTTCAACAGTGGTTTCTTTTAATTTGAAAAATGTTTGGCAAGGCCATATCTGCAGAGAAAAAACAGTAGGGAAAATATAAATTTCTCCAAAGCCGTTTTCGAGGTTTTTAATATTATACAGTGAGAAGTTGTCCAGAGAGCATCGCTTGTTGCTCCCAGTCATGCGGTGGGTGTGTGGAAGGTTGTGTACACTGTACTTGTGTGGCTTCACTGTGGTCATTTATTCTCATTCCTGTGACAGTCTGTGATACTTCACTCCTTGAACGAGGAAACTACACTCAGAGTGCGTGTCCATGTGGTCGGCTCCTGGGCTGGACGCGGACTGTAGTGTCCTGGCCCAGCTGGCCCCCTGCCGTCAGGCTCGGGTGACGGGTCTTCCGGTTCCTCTTCTGGCTCTTTTGACATTTAACTGTGAAGTAGCACCATTGCAGGCTTTTAAAAAGTTCCGACCGTCTTATTATTGGTTGTGAGGGTCTCACTTATTTTACCCCCTGCTCTGATTCTCTCAGGTTTCCTGATTTTCTCACGTATTACCCTTTCAGTGAAGTTTTCTTAATCTTCTGTCCCAGGCTTATTATCAGTCCTATGTGTTTTCATTAAAAAACAAAATCAAAATATAATATCATTTGTTTTATCCTCCTTGATTGGGGAATGCAAATAAATTTTCTAAGCAAGTGAAGCTACCTATGTAACCCTTCAGTGTTTTTTATTTAACAGACATATTTCTCAAACCTGCATTTCCTTACCCTGGCCCCTTTACTCTGAGTAGAAAAACTCGGTTTTTTGAGTCCTGGGTATAATACAGTGCTATAATACAGTTTTCGCCTTAGCACTTGTTGGGCTCTATGTGACTTTTGTCCTTAAACTAAGAGGTTCCAAATTTCCATGATTATTAAGTCCTTACGTTTATTTTTTATTGTTTTATTTGCTTCCCATGGACTTCTTGGTGCTGTAAGGGTGTCTGGCTGCGGTCATGTTCCTCTCTTCCAATTTGCTGCACTGATAGACAGGAACACCTGATAATCCTCATGATTAGAAAAACAGCTAAAATGATCATAAATAAAGTGCTGTTCTCTGAAAGTATCAGATCATCCTTTCATGGACTTTGTTATATCAGCTTGGTTACTAGAACCTTTTTTCCTCGGTTCTTGAAATGATACAGACAATTGAAGACTGGTAGATAAATAAACCAAATCCAGGCAGACAACATATACTTCCTATTCTGTTCAACTTTTTGATTGTCATTTTCTCTGAGACAAGTTTATCAACGGTATTTGTTGTGATTTGACCGTCATTCAGAACTGAGGCCAATAACTTTCAAACTCATTTTTAATATGTATATTTTATTCAAAACTGGCCATAATTTTATAACATTTGTAAACTATTCAGCCAGGACCATTAACTAATAACTATTTCAACATCACTTCCATCTTCACAGTTTAAGTTCCTTTCCATTGGTCTCTGTTAATTCTTCTCTGTGTTTTGTTTTCCAGATCAAATCCAGAGCAAGGCCTATAACAATCCTGGTTTCTACATTTACTTAAGTGAACTTTGCTAAAGGGTAGACATTTCTGATACGAGAACCCATCACCAGAACTTTAGAAACACTTGCGCCTTCATTGGTACATTCTCTACTAGCTTGACAGCTTTCCCTTTGATTCTAGATTTGTTTTTCATCACTGCGTGTTCATGTTTTGACATCCTGTTTTAGAATTGTCATCTTGCATGTACCCTCCCTTCCTTAACCCCTCCAGCATTCCTTTTAGTTCAGTTGCTGTAAAAGAGATTGTCATTTGCATTTCTTTTAGGGTATCTGTTCCATTTCAGGAGCTAGCTTAGGGATGGGTGGCTGCCACGTATTTTGAACTCAGTACAACTCCTTTTTCTGAACTAGAAACTGCCACCCGAATGTGCTCTGCCGTGCAGAATGGGTTCTGCTGAGGGCAAAGCTTGGAATAGATCTCAGACCTCATGAACGTTGTCCACTTCTCCCCACCAGTTTTATTCCCTACTTTTCTGGTTCATTTTCTGAGTTCCCATCTGGGATAGGCTTCATTTTGCTCTTGAGTAGCTTTCCTTTGGGGTCTTCTGTCTGGATTCTACGTAATAACCAGGTAGAACCAGGAAGCTTCATTTATTTCCAGCTCAGGAAGAGAGGCGAGAGCAGCACAGAGCCACGCATGAGCCTGTCCTCCTGGCAGCAACAGGTTGCACTGACTGGACCCATGAGTCTGGTACTGCAGCCTAGGAAACTGGTTTTGGCACCTGGTTTTGCATTAAATCGAAGGGTGCTTGTTTTTTTAATTTCATGGAGTCACTGAGCAATATCATATTTGAATGCCCCAGTGATAGTCAGTGAACTAGAACCCTTCTGGGTCATGACGGTACTTTGCCAAGTCAGTTTGCTGCAGGAAACCAAGAAGATAAGTGGGTCTGTGACAGTGCAACTCAGGCTTCCAACTCAGAACAAAGACTCTGGTGTCTAACCCAGAGCCTCACTCCCCCAGAGCCTCAAGACTTTATATGTAGTAGTTACATTTTAGAATACATTTACCGTGAAGTTGACAAATGGGACTAGATTTGGTCCACTGCTCACAGGGTATTATTGGTAGAAGTGGAAATTCCGTAGAAGTGAATTTTAAATTAGTTGGTTTTTGGGTTTGAAATTAAGTTAAAGAGTTTAGGGTTTTTAATAAGAAGGATCCCTTGGACACTGTTTTTGCCAGAAGCCATTTAATTTCCGACTCTTATTATGTATCCTTTTATTTAAAAATGATATAGCTATTACAGTAAAAAAATTTAAAGAGAAAAATCTGAAACCCTTTCACCCTAATGCAATGAATTTTATTTGCATTTATTAAAAAAATTTCATTCATTCAATTAATTATTGAGCTTCTATGTGTCAAATGCAGTATGTTCTCATTCCTGTGCTCGTGTGGGGTTTTGGAGCTACGTTTCTTAGCAGCATTTTTTTTATCCTGCATTTCATAATCCTAAGTAAGTAGCTCATGTCTCCTTGAAGTAAACAGGATCTGTTTTCTAAGTGGGGAGCCCAGAGGCCCAGAAATCATACCTTGAAGGCATACCAGTAGTAGAGGTGCTTTAGAATTGAGCTTTCCTCTCGATCTCCATGCTCAGGGATGTTTCTAACATTAAGAGAAAGTCAAGGGTTCTGGTTCACTTATTTGGTTTTTAAGTGATTTTTAAATTTATTTAATTGCCGTAATCTGTGAAGGGGAAACAGATGGTCAGTAGTTTACAAAATTGTTTATTTCTTTTCCAAAACCCATCTTGCTTTCAGGAGTTTCATAGTTTATATTTGTATTCCTTATTTTAGAAAGAATATATTACTGAAGGCATCATGTTTTTCTAGGGAAGGATCTCTCATCTCGGAGCCAAACAGATCTTGACTGCATTTTTGGGAAAAGACAGAATAAGAAGACTCCCGAGGTATTAAACCACATACGACTGATTTTTCAACTGTGTACAGAACTATGTATATTTATTACTCATAGTACTTTCCAGGCAAAGTTACCAAAAAAACCTTCTAGAGGCTTCATACAAAGGCTAAATGGTATCCTCTGAATAGTAATACTTGATAGATGATATGTATTATAAGGAACTTTAAAAAGAATGTGTGTTCTCTGGGGTTTTTTCCCTCCTGGTGTGAGGACTAGACTAACCGCCGGGAAGAACACCTGTTGCTGATGGATTCAGAGGGGCCAGCGTCTCCCGGCTGCATGAGAGAGGGAGGCGCTCGCTGCAGGCAGCCATTTTGCTCGCTTTGCTCAGACTGCGTAGCTCTCTCTGGAGCATGGCTATGGGGAAGACTGTCAGACTAACGCTCAGTCCTGGGCTCTTCCACTTGAAAAGCATTTTGAGACAGTGTTGGATCGGCATGGAGAATCTGGAAGGGATTTAGATGTGGTATTTCCTCCATTGTACAATATTGTTTGTTTCAAAACTAGAAGACAAGAATCGAGTGACTAAAGTGCACCCTGAATGGGGTGCATCCATAATTCATGATCCTAACTATTAAATTGGGCTCTGTAATACAGCACAAAGTTCTTTGTGCCATTTCCAACTGTAAGAGACAGCCCTGGATGTCGTTTGGATATCAAAATATTAGGATTCTTAGAATATGCATTTCTGGAGATAATGGGATAAAAATATTTAAAATTGATCTTATTGATATCTATGAAAATCTGAAATATATGGTTGCTCTCACTAGCTATGGTAACTATCACTCAACTAATCTGATGTGTCATACTCACGTTCCTTTATTGGTTCCTAGTCAAGGCCCTGATGACTACAGAGCAAAGAAGATGTGTTTCATTTATTTCTGACATTTCTCCAGACTGTCAGAAAATTTTCCAGGATGGTAGCTATTTGTTACTTAATATAATTTTCAAAGACTTCAGAATTACCAGTTATTGGAAATTTTGTTTGGTGACTTCCTTTGTAGGTTAGGACCAAACTCCTAGTCTTTCAGCACTTTTCTGCCCCCCGCATGTGTAGCCATGAGGACAGAGGAGGGAGGCCTGGGCCCCTGGGCCTGCTGAGAGGCACTTCCTGCAGCTCTGCTGAGTTACGGCTAGGCAGGTGGGTCATTAGGGAGGGGGCGTCCCGAGTTCAGGCTGCACTGGATGCTTCATTCACAGGAGGCTGTTGAAAAGAGCCAGGGTCATCAGACAACCCAGCTTCTGGTCACACCTCTGCTCCGCCCCTCCCTGGTTCCTGTAGGATGTGGATTAGGCCCTCTGCCTGGTTCACCAAGGACTTCCTCCCTGGCTTGTCTCAGTTTTCCCCTCCTTCCAGCGTCCTCAGTACCGTCAGGGATGTTCTCTGAGCCTCTGCTCTGCCCTAACAACCCCGCCTGGCCACACCCTGCGCCTTGACCTCAGCCCCACGCCCCTCCCTGGGCCCCCGGGGACTGTCTTTCTGTCCCAGCTCTCCCAGTCGTGCATTCCCACTGCACCAGCTTTTCTGAATCCTTGCCTTGGATTACTTGATTCTCCCTGCTTCCAGCCTTCATTGCCCCCAGCCCGCGTCCTCTCTCTCCAGCATCCTCTTTGAAATTGTACAGTTGAACAGATCGGGGAAGGAAATATTATTTATGGGCTTCTTTTAGAACTTTAAAAGAATTTATGTGGTAAGCACAGGAAAGCTTTTTATTATAGGAGATGAGAGGTTTCTCATCCTCTGATCGCCATCTATTTGAGGGCTTACTGGTGTTGGATGCCATAAGGTTTTTCAGCACTGCGCGGTACTTGACTTTTTGGCGGTATAGTCGTTTATGATCTGGGTAAAGCGAGCCGTTCCCCTGTATTTGAGGAGTTCCATAAACAGTTCCCTAGTACTAGCCCAGGGAAAATCTATTTTGGTACACTTGGTGTGGAGAAGACCAACCTTGATATAATTCTGTGTTTTGTGCAAGAATGATATCCAGGTACGTCTTAATCTGTCATTCTGCTGATGCATTTAAGATCCTGCTTGGTGGAGAGGCTGTGTTCTATCAAGGTGCAGCTCCTGCTCTAGAGCCGTGCTTCTCCACCACGGTTGCGCAAGAATGGGCTGAGGAGCTTTAAAAAAACTGCTCTTGTCAGGGTCCCACCCCAGATCAATGAAATCCAAAGTCTGGGTTAGGGTTTGGGCATCAGCACGTAAAAAAAAGAGAGAGCCCTTTTGTTTTTTTTAATTAAAAGAAAAAATACCCTATCCAGATGATTCAGGTGTTTATTTTGCCGTGTAATGAGGAGTAAGGATTGAGAACCACTAGTAGAGGCCCTGACAGGTAACTCTGCAGGTGGAGCCTTGGCTGTAGTGTCAGAACTATTGCCTAGAGCAGGGCTTCTCAGTCCTCATGTGTACACAAATCCTCTGGGACTTTTGTTAAGCTGTGGGTTCTGTTTCACAAGGGCTGGGTGGGACCTGAGATTCTGCATTTCTGAGGAGCTCCTGGGCGATGATGCCGCTGCCGCTGGTGGCACTGCCGCATCTGCCGCAGGGAGCGCATGGGGCCTCTGCAGTGTGTGTTTTTTTTTTTTTTTTAACATCTCTTTTGGAGTATAATTGCCTTACAATGGGGTGTTAGTTTCTGCTGTATAACAAAGTGAATCAGCTATACGTATACATATATCCCCATATCTCTTCCCTCTTGCGTCTTCCTCCCTCCCACCCTCCCTATCCCACCCCTCTAGGTGGTCACAAAGCACCGAGCTGATCTCCCTGTGCTATGCGGCTGCTTCCCACTAGCTATCTGTTTTACATTTGGTAGTGTATATATGTCCATGCCACTCTCTCACTTCGTCCCAGCTTACCCTTCCCCCTCCCCACATCCTCAAGTCCATTCTCTAGTAGGTCTGTGTCTTTATTCCTGTCCTGCCCCTAGGTTCTTTGTGACCTTTTTTTTTTAGATTCCATATATATGTGTTAGCATACGGTATTTGTTTTCTCTTTCTGACTTACTTCACTCTGTATGACAGTCTCTAG